CTCTCTCTCTCTCTCTCTCTCTCTCTCTCTCTCTCTCTCTCTCTCTCTCTCTCTGTGTGTGTGTGTGTGTGTGCGTGTGTGTGTGTGTGTGTGCGTGTGTGTGTGTGTGTGTGGAAGGGTTTGTACAACCCCATCGGTCATTGACTTTTGGGCTCTCCGTGCGGAATTTACACGGAGTTCCCTTCCTCCAGAATCCCTACGTTCCTTTCTTCTGCCCCGTTACTCAAGTAGGGGGCTTGAATCGTGATGGAATCGGTTGGATACAGTAATTTCAAGAGCTACTCTCTTTTCCCGCGGGCGGATCACTCCTTAGATCACTTTTTTACGCTGAATATGAAGGTGCTTTTTCTCTTTCAAATTCCTTTTCGTTGTTTTAAGTTTTGACTCTCTTTTGGGATGCCATTAGTCCGATGGTCATTATTTATCGGCTGGTATGCAACCAGCGGGTTTTCGGATGTAATTACGCTACTTTCATTCAATTCGTTATGTTTTCATGCCATTCATTTGGGTCCATCAGCATTCGAACAAGGGTCTGTCTTTCCACAGTTCATGAGTGTACCAACTGAGCTAGCATCGCTGGTAATCGTTAACTCTTCGCGAAGACCCGCTCTGACAAATCTCAAGCTGACGAGGTTAACAACAATCGGAACAAATCCATAGCTCTTCTGTTGTCGATAAATTTTGCTAGATCGATTATCTCATGTTGTCGATCTAGGTTACTGATTAAATTTGATGGATGGATTGAGTGATACGTATCACCCCGTGATTTCTCGCCGCAGCTCTTGCCTCCTCTTGCTTCTCTCCTTGCGTCACTCGGATGAGTTTCTGACTTCAAACATTTTCTTTCCTTATATAAACAATTCGATATCAGATTAACGGATCATTAACCACGGGGAGATATGGAATTCCTCCTGTCTCCTTCTATTCTGATTAAGTGACAGCGAACTTTTTCTTTCTTTCTTGATTTACGGAATTTCTCCTTTATGGAACCATGCGCCTAAGAGCTTTTTCCGTGCCCTCGTGCTTCACATTCCTCCTCTTCCTCCTGTCCCTACGATCCTTTGGTCCACCGCGCAATCGCTCAGCCATCACAATTCTGCTTTCCCGATATTCAGAGGAAACAAAGCAACCAATCAACCCATCAATCAATCAATCAATCAATAAATAAATTAATCAATCAGTCAGTTAATCAATCAATCACTCGATCAATCGATCAAAATCGGTCCACCATCTAATCAACTAATTACTCGACCAATCTATCAAATAATCGATCCATGGATTAATCAATCAATCCATTCATCCATCCATCCATTCATGCACCCATCAATCAATCGATTGATCCAGTCGATCAATCGATCGAAAATCCCTTATATGTTCAAGCAATCAGTCAATCAATCAGTTAATCAACCAGTCGATCAAGTGATCAATCAATCCAATCGCTCAATCAATCAACAATCCCTAATATTTTCAATCAATCAGTGGATCAATTCAACCCATCAGTCAAATGGGCCCGCGTCCTTGAACCCCTATCCATCGCTTTTCTTTGTGCTCGGTCATCAGGCGCCCCGTCGGTAAGATGAAGAGCACATGTGGAAATCCACACCGTCATCAGGCCAAGGCGAGAACTCGCCTTGGCCTGCTGACGGTGTGGATTCCCACTGAAACTTTTCACCTCACCCCAGTTATAACGAGTAATCTCGTCACCAGGACAAATCACAGAGTGTCTGCCAACGAAATTCTGAGTTTTCCTGTTTTTTTTTGTTTTCTCTTTTAATCGTTGTTGAGGTTTATACGGTTCATTTGCAGGGTCACAGTATGAAGGAATCTGCGGTTGAGACAATGTTTCAGAACAGGCAGGGTAGGGCTGAGTACTTTAGGTAGTCTCCCGCTCAGGACCCGCTGGTCATCAGCAGTTCCTTTTTTTGTTGTGGACACCTGTTTTCCTTCTCTGTGTTCCTTATGCTTGCCGGGGAGGGGAAACCGGACTTGTTTCCTACGAGAATATAAAGAGGGTAGTGCTTTTTTTTTTTTTTTTGAGGGTTAACTACGGCGCAGGCACGAAAACAGTTTCAAAGTGCACTTCAGGCGTTCCTCCAAACATAACACCCCCCCACGTGACCCCACCGGACCCGAAAGCTAGCTTGTATACATTCGACATTTTCAGGCCTTCTCTCTGAGATGCATTTTCAAACTGAAACCCTGACTGCACCGTAGTTTTCTCAAAACAGAAATACCTTGAGTACTTACTGCTGTGAAGCTAGCATGGGGCGAAAGATGCACTTGGCGGGATATTGATGAAATTTGGGCAGCAGAGTTTTCAAGCAATGAGTCCTGTGAAAGAAGCGGGCATGGTTGCTCTCTCTCTCTCTCTCTCTCTCTCTCTCTCTCTCTCTCTCTCTCTCTCTCTCTCTCTCTCTCTCTC